GGGGGGGGGGGGTACCCCCCCTTTGAAGCTGCTGGTTAAACGTCCATATTCTGCGGTAAGATGCTGGCATAATCCGAATACTGATTCTCTTGGGTCCCCTCATAAATATTATCTGCTGTAAATGATAGGTAATCACTTTGAATATGGTCGAACTCCCAATCGGTTGACACACGAAAATGTCCTTTAGGTGATTTAGGAGGGGGAGGTACCGGACGGTCGGAAAACGCGGGGTTGAAGCGAAGAACACGTAGACTTTGTGGGTCAGGTGGTGGTGTTCTGAAATAAAATTCACAAACGAACGCCACTTTTGTCCTATCTTCAAGAAGAAAGGATGATAAGATATTGTTCACAAGAAAAAAGTCTGCGATTGGAAATATACAAACTAAAGCAAGAAAATACATAGTAAAAAATATAGATGAATAAATATAGAAATGTATGAATGAAATATTACATATATACAAAACTTTAAATAAGAGAGAGAGAGAGAGAGAGACAGTCTGTACATGTATGTGTGTGAAAGAGAGATACATGTACATATATTGTACCTTCGTCTCCTAAGAAACAGTCGTATGATGACCACCACCAAAATTACGGTGACCAACGGTGTGGACACTGCGACACCAATTACCAGCGGGATGCTTGCCGTGTCCTCGCCATTCCCTCCTGGAATAACAAAAATAACAATACTGTTTGTGAAATCTTTGGAATTGACGAAGGGGATTTCACGATTCCAGTAAATGTCTTACAAATGTGAAGATTTTAACAATGCATGGATTTATCGCAAAAGCAGGAGACAATTAAAAATGTAGATCTCTTTTACCAAAAAATTGAGGCTTCTTGCAAACTGTTTCCTCAAATTTGCAGCAAATCTGCAAAAAAACGAGTTCTGCTCTGCAAATGAGATACTGTTTAGACTTGAGAGGATACGAAGGCTTCTTGCAAACGTCTCGCAAACTTTAGATGCTCTTGCAATTATGCAGCAACATTTTTCCTTGCATCAATCTGCAAACAGTTTAGTTTGTTGCAAATTGCCAGCACATTTGCCGCAAAATTTTCACTTTGCTAAGTGGGCTTGTTCCTCTGTTTCGCCATGAATGGGCGGTCTCTATTTCAAAGCCACCTTTAGAAGATAAAACGATCTTTCTATAAAGTTTAATTCAATACCAGTTAAAGCCATCAACTATTGTATATTATAATTATTTTTGACCTTTGAAAGTCATGCTACCTGCGTCATTTCCAGCTCCCTGTATTCTTATTGGAATAACATTCGGGATGGTAGACGCTAGTGTAACTGTGGGAGGCGAGGCAGGGAATGTCGTTGCGAGGGAAGTTGACGAAACGAACGTGGTGGTCGGGGTAATGGATGTCTTTGTGCCGGTGGTGGTAGTAGGCGTGGTAGACGTTGTAGAAGTCGTAGTAGGCGTTGTCGTTGTAGTTGGCGTAGTGGTAGCACTAGTGGTAGTAGGCGTAGTGGACGTTGTCGTTACCGTAGTAGTCGTTGTTGGTGCGGTGGTTCTTGTAGTAGGCGTAGTAGTCTTGGTGGACGGTTTTGTTAAAACAGGAGTTGTAAAGGTGTTGGAAAATGTCGTCGAAACGCATGCGGATTCCCCATCTGGACATGCGCACGTTCTGCCGCTGGGTTTTGGCAGACACAGGTAGGGGCAACCCCCATTGTTTACACTGCAGCCGTTCGATCCTACAATGCAAATAATGCCGTAAATTGCAACAAGACGATAACTCTATGTAGTCGTTTAAGATGTCATTTAATAAAATGTGGCGATATATAAGGACATGAAATAATGTGCAATGATATATGGATATAGACGCGCTATTGTATACCAGTATGTATCTTTTAGTACATGTGCATCATCTTTTGACACGCACCTTATTCGCATAAGAATACTGGATGCTTAGCTTACATCGATTTGTGACTTTAGCCTGATAGTAAAAAGGTTGAGAGAGCGAAGTCAAGAGCCACATATTCACTAAGCTGTTTGAGACATATATTGATACGTTATAGCATTCACAAAAATTAATTGTTGGGACTGGTACTTCTACACGTTATTTAATATGATCTTAAAAGTTACCATAAGGATATGCAGGGTGATTGATCATATTATTGAAGCCAGAGAGACTGGGAAAATTCTGAAATGTCTAAAAGACGTCTAAAACTATAAGGCTTCACTTAGAATGATACAACAGCTTAGCTAACTGTGTGCAAGGTACTGCAGTACCTACTAAGACTTAAAATCTCCATTAAGAAAATTTTCAAATGATAGATTTCAAATTTCGCAAAGATAATAATACCAAAAAGGCGACTAAGTCTACTACATCTTAGCCGGCTATTAGACCCCAAGCCATTATTACATTTTCTGTGAACACTCCGTGCCTTACGTGATAAATGGTATGAACTTCTGTACACGTGAACACCAGTTAACTTGGCCGTTGGAATAAAACTGGCAGCACGAACACTCAAGTTACTGCCGTCGTGTTTGTTGGCTCTATGGAACGCCCTGTTAAAATGTGCGTTATTAAAATACAAAAAAAGGAAATAGAGAAGAAATACACAAAGGAATACAAATCAACTGAGATAAATTGAATATATAACTGTATAGATATAAATATATTTGAAAGAAATGCATTTGCTAGGAATAGCAATATTACATTAAAGATGTAGTCTACATTAAGCGAGTATACCTGTTCATGTGCCATAAATAGTCCAGATTAAATTCACATCCAGGCATATTACTTTTAATTTGGTAACAGTTTTACAAACCATTTAAGTCCATAAAATTTTTATAGCAGATGTTTTAAATGGAATGTTTTAAAAGTCTCGTACCAGACATTGATTTTCCAATCAGTGAAATAGATCTGCCGGTCGTCCACGGCAATGCCAAAGTAGTGACCACCAAGAGTATCTTCCGCTTCGATCAAAGACCGTCTGTTACTTCCATCTGGGTCGGACACTTCAATTTTGGAATAATTTCCGTCGCACCAATAAAGTTGCTGTTCTGTAAAGCAAGATCTTATGTGTTTGTGTAAGTTTTTTTTTATCAAGAATAAAGAAAAAATGTTTTGGGCCTTGATTTTACAGAATATATTTTGCAATCATTAGAAAATAATAATATCTAAATTATGAAACAATAACATTTTAATAAAACATTGTACAAGTATTTCTAAATAATCGATATTAAGAAGAAATTATCTTAATAAAACAAAATCTCATAATCCCATATATTGTTCAAATCTCACCAGGGATGTCAATATCTATTCCGTTCGGCCATGATAGAGCCGTGTCAGCCACAGTTTGTCTGTTTTCGCCGTCCATGTGAGCGCGTTCTATCTTTGCTTCCGTACCCCAATCCGTCCAATACATCCAGCTGTAACAAAGTATGGAAGAAACGTGTACGTCTTACGCTACGTAACACCATGCCACAGAACATTACACTGAGCAAGTTTTTACAATGCATTGTGCTCATAATGTACATGATCTCCTCCATAAAACGTGTCATGAATATAAAAAATTATTGGCCCAAGTAATTTAGGCTTGGCAGCCGCTCATATTACGTTGCTAAATCCCATATTATATTTTCTAGATGCTTTTGTTCCATTTGTTGAGGCCAAAGAGAAATTAATGACCGCATCTTACCATTCCTTGAGAATTATCTATTTTGTGATGGTTTTGCATCTAATGAAACAATCACAACATTTCGACTCGCTTATTTTGACTTTGATTGTTTAGAGCTAAAACAGGGAAGGGCATGTTAAGGACAACATAAATGCATATTTAAAAACAAAATAAGTTTAAAACACACACACACACACACACACACACACACACACACACACTAAAAAATCAATTTCAATTTTGATAATGTCAACTCTAAAAAACTGGGGGAAACCCTCGTAAATACCCATTAACTGGATCCAACGTCATCGCTCTTGGCTTATCCAATCCAGTTCTTAATAAGATCTTGTGCTGGGATCCGTCCAATCTCATCACACCAATGGTTTTATACATGCCCTCGGTGTAGTACAATAGGCGGGAAATATGGTCGACTGCAACGGCGTCCGGCACGCTCCCTTAGAAAAGAAGTTTGACTTTTAACCGACTTGTGGAAGCCGACAGTATTAAAGGTCTTAATTTTCTTATTTAAATAATTTAAAAGTATATGTTAGTATATATAGAACGAGAACAGAAATTCCCACATGTGAAGGAACAAGACAGTTTGTTAAATACTACAGAAATACTTGCTAATATTCTTTGTATATGTATACCGATAAAAACAACAATATGTGGGTAAATGTTAATCGTATGTTACAATTTAATTGACAAGTAACCATTTCAGGATATACTTTTTAGTATTTCACTGTAAGGTTAAAAAATAAATGGTCAATCTCCATTTCTATCCTTATAGGCACTACGGTAATTGTATATTTTTTTTATACTGAGAGAGGGGGTAAGAGTACAAGTGTGTAAATGTGTGTTTGTGATTTATAGGCAAATAATGTTAGGTTGTTTGTTGTTTGATACTGAATAATAAAATTGGACTTTAAAAATGGCTTTCTCTCTCTCTCTCTCTCTCTCTCTCTCTCTCTCTGTATACGTGTGTGTTAGTATGCCTGTAATTTAAAATCTGTCAATGCAACTTCATCACACTTACCAATAATGAAATCAAAGACCGCTTCCGGCTCTTTTCCATTCATATTTATTCTTCTTATTTTAGCGAAGGTGACAACTTCAGACCAGTAAACCCTCTGCTCTATTGGGTCGTAACTTGCGGATATGGGATTATTACACTGGGTATAGATGGCGTGTAAGTTCCACTGGATCAGGTCAGCTTGCCATATTACTCCGTTTAGTCTGTCCGTGAAAAGTAGGAAGTCATCGGTCACATAGCGACTGTGCACTAAATTGAAAGTATAAAGCAAAGAAATGATAAGAAAAAAACTTTGGTTTTGAAACGAAACGACAAACTTCCAAAAAAGAAAAAAATCAATAGACTCCCAAAACGAAAAAACAGACATTATAAAATTTATTATTGAAATGCATGTGACCTCACAGAATGTGTAGCATTTTAGGGACTTACTCATTACTCAAGTAGGTTTTCTTTGTTTCTAGTGAAATGATTGTAAAAAAAGTAAATCAAATTTAACGATCATCGATACGCTCATTATCTTAACAAAAATAAGGCAAAGCAGAAAAAATAACATCTTTTTCACTGTTTATAGGTAATACACATGTCTCTCAGCTAGTGCCAATGATATTTTCTTTATCACAGTCTCGCAGGTCTCTCAGTTTTGAAACACAGCGATATTACTTATATCAAATGATGCAGTGGGCACAAGTGGAGAGGAAATATTTTATTTGCCAGAGCGGATGCCTGGGTTGTTATCGAGCTCACGCGACGACTTATCTGGGTTTTGTTTAACAAAATAACTGACATGAAAATAGTTGAATTGTGCTGTGATCCAGGATGCATTTCAGGAAGTAAATATAAACAAGGCAGCAAAGCTGTCAAATGTACAGACACCAATAAAGAAAAAGCATCCAATCTCAATTTGGTTTGCCAATTTGTCAATCATTCTTGTCAGTTACAAAATAATAAGTTTTCCATTTAGAGCATTTGTAGTGGAAGTAGACAAAATATTTTTTATCAATTTTGATGCAGTGTTAATTAATGCTTAACAGCATATAATCACCATTAATTTTAAATTATACACTTCAGGTACCATTGATGTCTGGAAAATGTGACTAGCAAAAGTCATCAGGCCCATGGAAAAGTCACACCTTAAAAATGCCGGTATGTACACAAGTACTGAAATGTGTTATTTTCATTTTCTACACTTATAACATAATACACAATAACCAATTTACATTGTACTTTCATTTTTAAATGATCAACTACAAAATCGGCAAGTTGGGAAAAATATCAATAAAACAATCTAAAATGTCCAATTTGCTCCATTCTTAGATTTTGAACATAGTGAGGAATTGAATCTGACAAACTGCACTGATTTGAGTTTATTCTCATTTTTGAAACTTTATTATACAATAACAAATTTACCATCATTTTTATATAAGCAAGTTACAAAATTGTCAAGATGCAGATAATGTCAAAAAATACTTTTATAAGTATGATAAGTTCAATACTGAGACTGTTAACATGAATAATAACCCATTTATATACAAAAAACAGCATAACTTCAACAAAAATAAACTTGTCAAGCCAATTTTCGAACTTGATCTATATTTCACACCTTTGAATCAGTCGTGCAAGTTTCAAAATAAAATGTGACGTGATTTTCATTGTATTTGTATTACGGTGGATAACATATGCTGAAAAAAATAATAATAAAACAGCATAATTTCTAGAAAAATGATCCGATCAGGCTGATATTCGAACTTGACCTGTATTTCATAAATGTTCATCAGTTTTGTAAGTTTGAAGACAAAAGGTAATATGGTTTTCATTTCATTTAGTAATATAACGCCGACTACGACGACAGACACAGGAGAAGGCTACATATACAGACAAATCTGTGTCTGTACATAAAAAGTATCGATATTAAATACCATATGTTTTCTCTTACATTTCTATTTCATTTCATTTATAAGTGCACAATATCATAAAGCTGAGCGTAATTTCATACATTTTGGCCCTGTCACATCTTGACGATTTCGCCAGCGTGAACATTTTGATGGCATACAGGGTATGTTGAACTGTCGAAGTTTTTTTTCAATTTTTGCTGTATACATAGCGCATTCATAACGAGTTCGGCGTATACATGACGATTTGTAACTTAAGTAGAACGTTTCCATTACTTATAGACAACTTACACCAACGAATGCGTAGCGTTATGCCGGCGTTCACAACTTATGCCCAACGCCAGTCTAACCTACGCATACCGCACGGCAGCGTATGGCCGACGATCACGTGCCTTGTCGGACTCTCATTCTCTCTCGGGTGACATGCACATCTGCTCACCATGGATTCTTGAGGAGTACTGACAGGTTCCTCCTGCGAACCCATTTTTATACCCCAATTCCCCTAAACGCTGCCAACACGCCATCATACGGTAGCTCAAAGTTAGCAGCGCGTTCAGTAAGTTCTGGGGTTGTTCGGAACGCGTCAAATACGTCTAAATATGTCAATGTGCGTTTGAGGTAAGTTTGATATAAGTAACCCATAGGTTAAAATCACGTTAATCATAGGTTGAACAAACGTCTTGGGTACGCTTGATATTATCTTGACGTATTGCGACTTGTGAGTAACTTATACATAACGTGTGTGAACGGGCGTCAACGATCGCATAACTTATTGCCCGCGTATGCGGGACGTATGAATCATACGTTGACATACGTCGAAAAGTTTTGTGCATGACTACCTGGACGTACTACGACGTATGCCGGTGTGCTTCAGCGTGCTCTTAACTTATACAAAATTTACCCATAACATTCGACGTACTCCAGCGTATTGGCCAAATTTTTCAAACGTTGGCGTTCGCTGGCTAAATCGTCAAGGTGTGACAGGGCCATTTTGAACTTCAAATTCTGTCTTCATGTTTACCTTAGTGACGCTTTTCACAACCCTTTAACTAGCCATAGTAATTTTTTTAACAATGACAATTCTTTGAGACAATGTACCTCCCTCCCCCTAAAATAATTTCGAGAATATGAAAGCAAAATATTAAACATGGCACTATGGGCTTCAGAGACTGAGTGTGGACAATTTCACCATTTCAACTTGCGTCACTCTCACTTTCAACTTGCGTCACTCTATATAAAAATCCTTTTTAGGAAATCTGAATATATAATTTTACTTTTCAAATCCTCTTTGTTATCAGTCTGTGACGATATTCCGGTTTTCAGATAAGAAACCGTGCAGTAGTTATACCTGTCTTTTTGTGACTCTGTAAACATTGGGAAGAACTTCAATTACAAATTAGATGAATATGTATGTCACTTCGTGAGTATATAAGAATATGTTAGGAAAATAAAGCCATCTTACCTGAAGATGATAATAAAAATATCACAAACAATCCCCCAAAATTCTTCATGGGATTCATTATAACAGGGTCGATATGTCACGTGTTGGAACAATATATCAGGATGCCTGTCTGTCGGATCTTGTCAATATTTTGTGAGTTTTTCTCGTTATAAACCCTTCAGTGTTAGGCCCCAGCGTACTGTGACGTAAAGTTTTGTAGCCTGTTTGGGAGTCTAATTTCTTTTCCTCTTTAGTATGATTCACGCCGATGGAGATTTAAAGTGCCCTGTTCAGTTGGCACCGTTTCATCGCCTTGTGACTTTTACTAACGAGAACACATTGCTGTCAACCGCGCTTTTTGCCTTGTTTTATAATGCAACGAAATGCCCAGCGATTTTGCTCAGTATTATTAGAAAAGCCGAAATATGGCGAGCGAAGATCTGTAAATTAAAGGGATAATAACTCTTCGTATGAGATCCATATTTCACAATAAAAACATTGAGAATGACTCATAGAAATATAATATATTCTGCTTTACCACAAAAACGGCAGTTATAGCTATTTTTTCTGATATCTGAGCTTGTCTTTAGACCACGTGACCTCCATTCATGGCTATACTCTGTTAAAATCTCTTAAGAGATTTTAACAAAAAACCTAACTTTTTAGAAAAAAGCCAGGGACTAACTTTGAATGTATAAATGGATTCATTATACAACCATTGGTAAGTATGGGAAAATTGTTGTTTACTCCAGGAAAATTCATTTTTTGGCCGAAACGAAGAGTTATTATCCCTTTAAGGTTAATTTAAGATGCTTTTGAAACGGTTGTCCTTCGCGAGTGGTCACATAAGACTAAAACACTGAAGTCAAATCTTACATTGTTCTTGTAATAGTTCTTGAGTTGGACATCAAAATATGCGCTTTTTTGTACATTGTACAAAAATATATGCTAATAAAATGAAATAACTTCTTGTTCCTGAATGCAGGAAAATAAAATGGAATTACTTGCTGGTTGAAGAGATCGATACAATGTGAAGAACGTGATTCGTGAACGAGTAAGGTCCAATTTATGCTTTCCACTATTCACATCGTGCGAGATATTTCTTTATTTCACACGGCTTTAATCAACCAATCATTTATACATAATCTTGCTGTAATACAATCAGGCGAGAGGCACTGAGCCCCGTACATAAGCCTTTAAGAGAAATCGCACAAATTGCATACACTTGAACATATGTTAATTCTCTATGGAGTTTTATTCTAAACTGATTGAAATAACGCACACGTTACAAAAAATTCTACAATTGTTTTTTTTTTTTCTCTTTATGCTGTTTAATTCTAAATTAAAGTCCGTAGATAGTTTACAAGCACAATTTCACCGTTTTCTGCTGGTTATACGTCGACATTCTGCGGTAAGATGCTGGCATAATTCGCATACTGATCCTCTTTGGTCACTGGTACTTCATAGGTAGCATCTGCTTTAAATGTTAGGTATTCACTTGGAATTTGGTCGAACTCCCAATCGAGAGGGGGAGGTACCGGACGGTCAGAAAACACGGGGTTGAGGCGAAGAACACGTTGGCTTTGTGGTTCAGGTGGCGGTGTTCTGAAATAAAATTCACAAACGAACGCCACTTTTTGTCTTATCTTAAAGAAAAAAGGATGCTAAGAAATTATTCACAAGAAAAATGTCTGCGATTGGAAATGTACAGTAACGTACATATATTCAAAATATCAAACTAAACCAAGAAAATGCATAGTAAAAAAGACAGGTGAATAAATATAGAAACATATAAATGAATATTACAAATATATACAAAATTTTAATTTAGAGAGAGGGAGAGTAGTAGGCTTGTTAAGAGGTCAAACGCTGCATTTTATAGTGCAAATGTCTAACTTGGCATAAATGTTCCTTGGGCCAAAAGAAAATTTTTTATCCAAAGAGACGCCCTCTATCGATACATTAATTAGCATAAATTATGCAAATTATGTGCCAAAATATATAATATTTCATATTTCCATTAATTTTTGGCCTAGAAACATGTATAGATTATCAAACCTAACTAAATTAGGGACAAGGAACCCATTTTTGATCATTTGGAAGCAATTGGGGGCCATTTTGTGCCTCAAANCCGAAGGTTCTATAGTGAATATTCGGACCAATGAACCTTCGGACTATTGAACCTTCGGACTATTGCTACGGCCCCCATCAGTGGTAATGGACTGTGTGAAAGTATATACTTAGGCATTCATGGCTTGATCTTTGAGACAAGCATGTGAATACTGGCAGGATCAAGCAGATAGCTTGTGGGTCTTTTGGAGCAGCCTATTTTTTTCTTTGGTCAATAGGCCTATATTTGAAAGAAAAATTTAGTACATAGAAACAAATAAAAGCACAGGGCCTATGTGCATAGCTGAATGCCCTATAGTATTGACACTACAAACACTGACGGGGAATTCTACACTGTTCTAAAAAAATAAGACCACAAGCGACATTGGCCCAATTCAGAATACGGGACTAACTAGTCCCGGGGTCAAGTATGGCGACCGACTACAAAGCTTGCTGTCTAATCCGTTAATTGACACCTGATATTGTGAATGGGGCTATTATGTTATTATGGCAAAAGGTTACTTGTAAGCATACTAGTTTGCTAAAGATATAAGAGTTCATGTGACATTTCTTCCAACCATTAGGCCTACGTTAAAACGTCAATTTTTGTCAGTTGTAATTTGATTTTAGTATCAATCATTAATTAAAGCTTTTTGCTGTACATTTATAAGGATGTTTTCTCTCTGTGTCTCTCTCTACACACACAAACACACACACACACACACACACACACACACACACACACACACACTAAATGGAGGGTTTTGTAGGCCTACGTATACGTAAAGCTTATGCGCAGCAAGAAATAAATTCAAATCTATTGCGTTAATTTTTTACACGTTCTCTTCGCGGGTGCTGGGCAAAATAGGCTGATAGTCATTCGCTCCATTTTCGTAAACCGTGAACGTTGGGATTTCGTATACAGGATTCCCGGTAATTTGTTGATAAGGATGCTCATCTTTGCTGCTGATATTTGGCATGGCTGGCGTCAGGCCTTCGTAATGTGACGTGTCGCCCTGATGTGGGCTGCTCGATAAATGGCGCTCCGGTTTGTCGTTCCCATTGTTGTCAAATGCAGGGTTCAAGTGCGGATTGGTCGGCAAGGAGTTTTGTGGAGCACTGAAATTATTGAACGAGATATGAGATCATTTGGTGTTTCTTTCATTGGGTGTTTTTAATTGGGTTTTCCCTTTACTATACGGTATCTGTAGGCTTACTATCAGTTTTCTTCATCGAAATGAATATAGGGCCTAATAGGGTACTACAGCTCGCATGTTGGCACTCAGTTTTTCAATCAGTACATGATAACAAAAAATCCTAATATATATCCTGGGTCCAATGTATTTATTTATTTATTCATGCAATAAATTATACATTCATTTTATTTTATTTAATTCAGACGTACAAAATGCATTTATTATTCTCCAATAGTAATAAATACGAGTAGGCCTACTTACTTCCGTTTCTTGACTATCACCACCACCAGTAGTACCAAGGCTATAATTATCACTACGCTGACTACGCTGACGGCAATCAAGGCAGCGCTCACTGGCTGACTAGCGGGCCGAGTCTCAACGTGGTCTTCAGCTGAAACAAAATTAAAAATCCACCTTCTTCAATTACTGATATGTTTTTATTATTATTATTATTATTATTATTTTTTTTTTTTTTTTTTTTTTTGGGGGGGGGGGGGTGAGCCGACACGTGTCCCTGCCTTACATGCAGCATCTGAGGTACCCCTGCTCCCTATACAAGTATCCCATGAATAGTCAAAAACAGGCACAATTTCATCCCTTATAGAAAACTATCCTCATATTCTAATTATATGTGAGGCAATGATAAACCCTTTCCTCCCACTCGCTCCAACCCACCAATGCACGCACACACCCGCCCTCTTAGAATAATCTAAATCATAGTGTTACCGGGTTGGCTATGAATCAGTTTACTGTCGGGAAACTTTGTCGCTGAAAACAGCTCACTTTGGTGTCCAATTGAAGTTGTTGTAATTCTCAGCCGAAGGTACGTTGAGCTGGCAATCTTACCTGAGGTTAGCTCGCCTTGAACCGTTCTTGAAGAACTTGGTTCCACCATGGCAGGCGAAGATGTGTCCGATGGCACATTTCCTGCTGTAATATTGATTCAGTAATGAAAAAAAGACATTCCATAATCAATAAAAAATTTAAAGGTAACAGCTGATTTTTTTTAATTTTCGGATATGCATCTTCAAAAGAATAATTGCTCATACATGCATTGGACGTGCATTTATGTAAAAAAAAAAAAAAAAAAAAAAATGTTTTAGAATAACCTTTTTTAAAAACACATTGATAACAATATTGTATACAACAATACCAATTTACTTACATGTAGGCCTACTTTGGTCAGACGAGCAACCGGATTCTGGGCATGCGCACGTTCTGCCGTTGGGTTTTGGCAGACACAGGTAGGGACAACCCCCATTGCTTACACTGCAGCCGTTCGATCCTACAATACATAGTTGCCAAAGCAAGTGGAACATAATTCCAACAAGACAATTAATATATTGCATGTAGTCGTTAAAGATGTCTTTAGATAAAAAGATTGTTGGGAGCGGTACTTCTACAATTTGTTTAATATGATCTTCAAAGTCACCAATCGAATGTGCAGGGTAATTGATCATATTATTTAAAGCCAGAGAGACTGGAAAAATGTTCAGTGATTAAAAAGGGCTAAAACTTTTAAGTTAAAATTAGGATGGAAAACGGCACAGCCGACTGCGTGCAAAGCAATAGGTAACTGCACCTAGTGAGAATAATAACTTCCATCCATATAATTACACATTTTCAAAGGACTTTGTTGTAGGATAAGGACAATAAAAGCAGGCTAATTTTGCTTAGAGCAGCTTAGTCGACTACACCTTAGCCGGTTATTACATGTAGTTCCAAAACCAGCATAAGACTTTATGTAAACAACCCGTACACGCCTTACCTGATAAATGGTATGAACTTCTGTACACATGAACACCAGTTAACCTGGCCAATGGAATAAAACTGGAGCCAGCAACAGTCGAGTTACTGCCGTCGTGTTTGTTTGCTGCGTGGAATGACCTGTTCAAAACGTGTGTCATTAAAATACCAAAAAAGAAAAAGAGAAGAAATAAACAAAGGAATAAAGATCATTTGAGATAACTTGTATATATAACTTAATAGATTGAAACATATTTTAAAGAAATGGATTTGCGTCATCACAGTGACATAATATGTATATTAAGCGAGCTCATACACAAAAAAAAAATACCGCCACATAACTTCCAACAGTATAATACTACATGTATACATGTAACATGGTCCATTTTCTCAATCTAGTGATAAAAAAATATTCCAAATTAATCATGCGGCCAGTCGACAAAAGGCTATAATATTAATTTGCATGATTCGCATGATTAATTTGGAATATTTTTTGGCACGTGGATTTTATTTCTGTTGTGCGTAAGAAACTGGCAGGAGTCATTTGTATGCGTGGAGTGTACACCGCTGTGCTTTCTGTTGTCATGGAGCTCTAATTTTTTGGCAAAATGTATGTGAAAGCCGATTGAACTCTATTCGAATTTCTGCAACTCTCAAGCTACATATGATATTCTCACTAGATTGAGAAAATGGACCTAAAAATGTACAAGCAGGTTGAGGTTCCATTTACATTCAAGCATATTGCAGACACTTTTAAGTAAAATCACAAAATTATACAAAATATTAAAGTCCATATAATTTTTCTTGTAGATGCTTTAAACGGAAGTGACGTACCAAGATGAGAACCTCCAATCAGTAAAGTAGATCTGCCGGTCGTCCACGGCAATGCCGAAGTAATGGCCACCATCAGTATCTCCCGCTTCGATCAAAGATCGTCTGTTACTTCCATCTGGGTCGGACACTTCAATTTTGGAAAAATTTCCGTCGCACCAATAAAGTTGCTGTTCTGTAAAACAAGATCTTATTATAAGGTGATTGTGTACATTTTTCATTTAGAATTTAGAATAACTATCTTTCTAAAAGGCCTTGAAAATGTAGGCCTACAGCATATTTTGGCAAACGTAAAAAATAAAGTTAAAATGATGAAATGATAAAATATTGTAAACGAAGTATTTCTTAATGAGCCATTATAAGAAGAAATTATCATATTAATACTGAAAAATAATTCAGTTCTTCCAGATATCGTTCAAATCTCACCAGGGATGTCAATTTCTATTCCGTTCGGCCATGATAGAGCCGTGTTCACCACAGTTTGTCTGTTTCCGCCGTCCATGTGGGCGCGTTCGATCTTTGCTTCCGTTCCCCAATCCGTCCAATACATCCAGCTGTAACAAAGTATGGAAGAAACGTGTACTTGAAGCATGTTTGCCAAGTCACGTTACGTCATCAAACGTCACGTTCCAAATGTAACGTCAGCTGGTGTGGTATTCATTGCTGCTTTGATTGGCTTATTGAAAACAACTTGTTGAGGCCCAAAGGAAATTAATGACCACATCTAACCATTTGGAGAAATACCTATTTTGTGTTGTTTTTGTATCTTATGAAACAATCACAAAATTTCGATTCATATCCCTTGCCTTTGATTGATAAGAGCTAAAGCAGAGTAGTGCAAGTTTGGTACTGTGCACGTATAAAAACAAAATAAGTTTACGACACCATCAATTTCAATCCTGATAGTGTGAACTCTTAAAAAGGGGAAAAGCCCTGGTAATTACCCATTTATTGGATCCAACGTCATCGCTCTCGGCTTATCCAATCCAGTTCTTAACAAGATCTTGTGCTGGGAGCCGTCCAATCTCATCACACCAATGGTGTCGTACTTGTCCTCAGTGTAGTACAGAAGGCGGGAAATATGGTCGACTGAAATGGCGTCCGGTATGCTACCTGAAATGAGAAGTTTGACCTTAAATGACTCTCTCTCTCTCTCTCTCTCTCTCTCTCTCTCTCTCCCTCTGCGTGTGTGGGCGTGACTGCAATTTAAATTCTGAATCGGTCAGTGTTACCACATGTACATCACACTCACTTATAGCAAAATAAAAGACCGTTTCAGGTGCTGTTCCATCAACATTTACTCTTCTAATTAGAGAAAAGGTGGCAACTTCAGTCCAGTAAACGCGTTGCTCCATTGGGTCGTAGCTTGCGGATACGGGATTATTACACTGGGTATAGACGGCGTATAGGTTCTGCTGGATCAGATCAGCTTGCCATATTACTCCGTTTTCTTTGTCCGTGAAAATTAAGAAGTCATCGGTCACATAGCCACTGAACACTAAAATATAAAGCAAGGAAATGATAAGATAAAAACCCATTTTTGAAACGAAACTATTGGTCAATTAATCACTGTAGGGGCCTAATTGAAATAATTCAGGTAAATTAAAGATGCTTTCGAATCGGTTCTCCTTCACACGTATTTGGAGCGCATTTTTGAAAATAACATGACCTTTATGCAAAGTCGCCAAGGCTGTGTTCATAATAGAAATTTTGGTACTAGCAAGATCGATCCTTCTCAGCAGGGATTCTCGCTAAGCCACAGTCAATGTAAGCAGCTTAGGCTGCGTTCATATGAAAAATCTATTTTCTAAAAATCTACAAATATATTTGCGGTATCTTGTGATCACGGTCTGTGCCCTGAATACCCTGCGGCGTAGTTACGGGCAGCGCGAGCCAGTTAATTACAGCTTTGGAAGAAACTGGCTCGCGCTGCCCGTAATTACGCTGCAGGGTATTAAGGGCACAGGCCGTGATCACAAGATACCGCAAATAGATTTTTAGAAAATAGATTTTTCATGTGAACGCAGCCTTTATTGTTTAGCACGCTCCCTCGCAAAGCATCATCATTGACCACAAAGTTCTCCCGACTTTATTTAAGTACTTAATGGGGACGAGCACGTCCCTATGATCTCTGGCGATCAGTGAGCATTATATCATTTGAGTTCCCAGGACCAATCATATATTGTAGAAGAACTACCATCACATTTACTGAGACTGTTGAATAACGATTTCTAAAATGAATACCCCATGCTTCGTTGTCTTTTTAAAGTACTTTGGTTATCAAATTTAAACTTTTTGTATCAAAGGCAATACCAGGAAGAACTATGTGGTGTAACTTCTTTGAATTTTAATGGACATCTTTAAGTTATTAAAATCTAAATTTCGATAAGTTATTTCATCTAACTAGTAGGCCTACATACCGTATATAAACCCTTTTCAACCAGCAATGGAAAGGGTGATAAAAAGGTTACCTACCTGAATGAATTAGAAGAAAAAACGACAAACGCAATAAAAGACGCACTTCCTCCATCTTTGTGAACGTGACTCTCAGTCTTATCTAAAGCCGCATTCGTCACTTGTATTTGCATGACTCGATTCGTAAACAACGATGGCGTTGATTAGGATTTTGTTGGTGCGTTCTACGTAGTCTTGCCGTGTAAGAGATCCACTCATGTTGTTTTAATTAAGTAATTAATATTAAACTTATATGGAATTGTATTCACATACCAGTGGCGGATTTAAGGGGGTGTCAGGGGGTTCCTGATTCCACCCCCCCCCCCCCTTCGATTTCTGAAAAAAAAAACAGCAATGGTCCCCTCTTGAAAATAGAATTTTAACTAGCTCAATCAGAGTTCTAAACCGTACCAAATGGCACTGTTCACCCTCTTAAATACCCCAAAAATTTCGGGTCCCTTCTCCGGGCCTATAACCCCACGACAAGGCGGTGGGGGGATCGGCTTCGCAGCCGCGGACCCCCACTTCAAATAATCCTGGATTCGCCCCTGCATACACACTTAAGTGTTTATTATCATTAATTTGTTCCATTATTTCGTTTACTTCACACTACCGGTATGTAATGCACTTGTGTGCAGGGGTCGTATATAGTGACTATAATGTTCTGTGAATGGCTAGTGCTCACCGGGGTTAAGTTCTCGTTACAAGCTAGAGCTGGAAAATTCTTTCTCGGAGTGCGTAAACACACTACAAACATTGCTGTAAGAGGGGAGATGGGTTGGCCCTCAAACTTAACTAATCAACGTACGGAAGTCTTAAGGTACTGGAATAAACTAAAGACATCAGATGAAACCAGGCTAATAACAAAAATCCACAAATGGTCGCTTTATAAACCGCGCACCTGGGAAAGTAGAGTGTTGTCGCTTCTGTCTCAGATGGAACTATATACGGAGGGAGACCTTGTCAACATTTCTTTGGCAAAAATAGTTTTAAAAACTGCGGATGAAAATTTATGGAAAATTAAGATGTGGGACGACAAAAAGTGCACAAATGGCAATAAACTACGAACATATAGAACATTTAAAGGTGAACTTGTGACAGAATCTTATTTGCATAATAACTATCTGACTAGAGCACAACGACGGACCTTTGCTTCACTACGCTGTGGAAGCGCACCCCTCAGAGTGGAAGCTNTTGCCCGTCATGGACATTAAAGCTTACGCTGAAACTATAAAACAAAACATTTCCCATCATGCTTTATGTTCAGTGCTTTATCAGAGAAAACTTTTTTCCTATCAGGGGCAGCTTAAGTACTTCCAAGGTTAAAGTTTTAACTCTTTTAGACAGGTGATAAATTGGTAACATTTGAGGACACTTTCTACTTGATTGCACAGGTCGCACTTGAATAGACAGGACAATGTTTGTACAACTACAGACCTGGTAAGTTGTATTGGAGTTAACTGTTCAACCATGATGATAATAATGATGTAATGCTACAAGTGACGTGGTAATAAGTGGGATGGTGCTTTTATAAGTTAAGGGTATAAAAGGGGGAGGAGAATGTATGGATTAAAAGCCAGGTCTGGTCAGGTATGAAAAATAGTTCTGATAAAATCTTCAGTTGTATAACTATTTGACTGCATGACAGGTAAAGTATAACATTTCATTGTGAGTGAGTACATGCTCAGGGTAGTGGTTAGACTCAGTGAACCAAGAACCTGTTTTGATGGTAGAAATATTTGAAAACAAACTTATTGAACTGGACGCTTACCCTGTTACTGGGCCTCTGACACTCGAAACAAGTTTTACGTCAGCGTCAGTGCAAGGAGTTCTGTAATACAAATGGCAAACACTTCATGTGAATGTGCTGGGGATAAACTGTAAATAATAACAATTTTGCTTATGCTGGTGAGTATAGAAAACAGGGTTGAGAAAGTAAAATACTTACGAAAGTGAGGGAAAGATTATATCTGTTTGTCTTGTGGTGTAAATAGAGGAATTGATACTAAATAATCATATTGTTTTGAAGATAAATGTGTAGTATTTGGGAAGGGAAAAACAAATAAGTTGGTCACATAAAAGTGAAAGAAGTGTTTTAGTTTTAGTTGATTGCGATATACATGTAAAAAGCATGTCATATAAAGAGTAGAAAACAGAGAAGAAAGAAAAAATCTGCAGGTTGGTATCCTGGCATGGTAATTACCATAGACTGATCACCACAACTGATATTTCTTAACTTCATGATACAGAAATATATTGATGAAATTGTTCATAACATTGACATTGTACAGCAGGATGATTTGCAACAATAGAATCAAAAATTATATTTTGGTAAGTGGTCAGTAAAACGGATATTCCAATATTATTATTTTGAGGAAAAGAGATGTTGAAGCCATTTTGACAATGACACGTTGAAAATTCTGTCTAGATAGATATATTGCAGAATCTAGGTGTACAGATTTTTTTGCACTTAGATTTAAGTTATGTGTGACTGGGCTATGAGAAGTGATGAACAGAATTCTGTCATTTGTTTGTTGATACAAATTGCATAAGGAGAAACCATATTGTCATGACTTGGTCTGTGTGGTGCGATGGGATAAAAAATGATACCTTGGCTAATAATGGAGTTTTCTGAGATAAAGTATCGTTGTGTAAAAAGTGGGCTTAAAACTGGTATTTTTATGTACTTGAATATCAATACTCAAATCTCTATTCTTGTTTGTTTTGATATATGCTTAAGGTAACCGTTAGTATAATAGAGGGAAGTACTCAGTGGTATACTAGTACACATTTCATGCTGAAAGTAATTATTTTCATGAGCGGAAGAAATGTTGCCTTGACTCACAAACTAATTTCCATAGGAGGAACTAATTCATAACAATATGATATACCTTCTAGTAAAACGGAAATGTTTCTCCATGACTGATGAGTTGTATGATAGAAATTTCTGCTAAAACAAATATAACAGTATCCTAAAGAACATTTGGGACTTCCTTTTATTGGCTTTCCAGATCTTGTTTCCACAGATAGAGGTAAAAATTACATTTATTGGACAGAGAAATGTTTCAGAACAAATGTCAGATTTTGTTCATCTTTTTTTTTTCTCTATTTGATCTATCGTAACCCGAGGAGCAAGCCTGTTGCAGATGTTACGCACAGAGATGTCATAATTAAGGGGAACTGTCGGGTCATTTACATCACCTGGCAGTTCGTAAACTGTTGATGACATCATAATTAATATAGATTGATAACCTAGAGTTGAGGACCAGCTGTGAATAACTTAGTCTAGACTTAAAAGTCATGCATTTATACATATACTATATGAATATGTAAATACATACACTTTCAAGGGGATGGTGGTCATCTTTTGATCAAGAGAGATTGCTAGATAGAGTGTAGATAGGACTCTTTACAATAGAAAAAAAGAACAAAGAAAGTAAAGGATTAGTGTCTTCAACTGTCAAACATGTTTAAGCAAGTTTTAAAGAAATCTATGGAATAATTTGATGTGCAAAAGTTTTCAATCTGTTAAGATTCATATGTGATGAAATCAATTCACATATAAGGTAGGATTTGGAGGTAGCAGTCTTTAGAATGAGTAAGTTCTATATTATTAAGCATTTTGTTGAACAAGATACCCATCTGACAGGTGAGAAAAGAAGATGATTCCTAGTATAATCAAGGTAAACATATATTTAAAGTCACCAACGAGTCCTTTCATTCCTAACCAGTTGCTGTCCTCATTGTCCAACAACACATTGAAAGGCATTAAAATTTATGAAAGTTGTGTTTAAGATTTCTTGTAAAGATGTATCCAGGCCTGTAGTCTGTTCCTCCCTCTCACACCCAACCACAATATTTACCTGTGAACTCATTAACACATGTGATATTTGCTTTGAGGCTCATTTGTTCAGATGAATCTGCTGATGGAAAGACTTCATCCTGTCATGACTGGACTTGACTTTTAAGGAGACTTCTCTGGGGGAGAGACCCTGTTATTAATGAGCAAAACAGGTATCAGACAAAGGTGAAATGAACAAAAGGACAGGTATATTTAACTACCCCCTCTTTATTTCCACCGCCCTCCCCGCCTCCCCCAATTTTATACCCATCATCTGATCAAACCACTATCACCAGATTGCTTGGACAAAAACTTGTTAGAATTATAAAGAATTATTCGATATGCAGTGTAAGAGACTGGAATCTTATATACAGGACAATTTGTTCAAGCATTACTGTTTAGATCCCAGGAAATAACAGAAATTGTTAAGTATGAGTTTCCAGTTGATTGCACCAGCTCCTCCACAGTTCAATGATAATGGGATAGTTTGTCACATTAGTGGTGTCATAAAGGTCTGCCCTGCTTCTGTGGAGATAGTGATCTCTTTAAGTGTTAACCATCTGTCCCACTGCTCTGTCACTTATATCTGTTCTGGTGACAAGGGGATGCAGTCTGTTCTTCAGCGTGATGGAGTATTTTGAGTATTCATGCATTTGGAGATACTGTTACCGGGAATACAACATGATCATATTGTAAGGAAGCTGTAAAGTACAGAGGAAAGGAGTATATGTGGACACTGCAAAAACTGGTTTAAAATATATTATAATCATAAGGATTGTCAGTAGATAATTTGGAATTGGATGCCTTTGTGTACATTGAAAGGCATCTCATTTATTAGTAAACTAAATTGTAGTTTCAAGAATTTACCTGGTGCTCATGGATGACTGGGTCATAGTTAATATCTGGTAAGTAAAATGTGCTACATAAATTTAATACCTTTTTGGATAGTGCTTTAATTACAGATATCCTTCATTTTTCATCAGAGCACAGAGGAATAAGAAATGTTGCCATAATGCCATTGGATTAAAAAGTCTACTTAAAGCATAGAGAATTGGACCTGGATGTCATGTCTTTTTAAAAAGTTTTCTGAGTTTCTTCTCTGTAAAAAGTTTTCTTATTATAGCCACTTGTTATTGGACTGGGAAGGCTTTAAGGATGTGTAGGTTTTAACAACATTTTGATAAATGGTTGAATTGGATATCATGGCAGAAGAAATACTCCTTTGGAGTTCTAGTCATTTTTACAAAAAAAGGAAAGAGAAATTGACCAAAAAACTTCCAGGGAGCGTAGCACCTGTTGTCCCCTCTGCTGGACCCCCCAAGACAGTCTCCACTCCACACCACGTGGGGTGAACACGCTGCAAACCTATAATTAGTTTCAAAATGTCACAAGTTTGCCCCAAGTGTCACGCACCCCTAATGACACCTTCAATTATGAAATAACCACTGTTTTCAAAGGTTAGATCGTGTGGGGGGGATTTCACCAGCGTCTGTTGCCACCTAGACTGGCCAAGACCTCATGGCAGGCCTTTGCCCATGGTGACATCTGAATATCAAAACAGAACCTAATTTGTGAGGAAAAAAAACAAAGGATTTACGTTAAGATAATGAGACAAAGCAGGTGACACTGTCACAGCCCAGGTACATATATAGCCAGCAGGAGGCAGAGAGGGAGTACATTTCAGATAGTCAAGAGGGAGAACTGAGTACTTTTTGAATGGGAGTTAGTCTTGCACTGTTGCATGCAGAATACAATCTAAATTGTGTCGGGGATGTCATTGGAGTCAATTGAAATAGTACTCAGGAGTTAAAAGTCATGACAAGATCATTGGATAAATTGCTAAGCTGAAGGTATGTTTAGGACTAAGGTCATGTGCACTTGGATGAGTAGCTTACATCTATTTCCCTATCTGATGAGCCACTAAGTAGGGCTTTTAGCATCATGTAGAGGTGACTAAACACTTGATGATAAGATTCTCTCCATCATAATTTATGACTACAGAAGTCTTTATGAAACAAATCTAGAATAATTACATTGATGATCATCTTGATTTTCACTTACAGTCGATAGCTTGAATTTAATGGTTGTTAGCACATTCAGTGGAGTCTTACTTGGATGCAAATACTTAGAGAATAAAGCCAGATGTCATTCTTTCCATCCTGCTTTATAGGAGTTTTTTAAATGAACAAATCTTGAATAATTACATTGTNACCCATGTCCAATAGTACATGTCGCGCGCGTCTGTGTGGAGATAGATTTTGTTGGAGGTTTGTAAAAGTTGAAAGCGACATGACTCTAAGGTCACGTCAACTTCGTTTATAAGGGTCTACTTATTCAGCTGCGAAAATCACACGTAATGCCTATTTCATGTTTTATAACAGTGTCTTTTGAGAGACAAACGCGACATGGGTCGTGTTAATCTCGCATCTCTGGAGTTCAGTAAGTGGCGAAAGAGACACAGCCATGCCATTTTCGGCTCTCAAAGCTCTGTAGTAAAAGACGAACTCGGCTTAGGCCTTGTCGTTTTCGCATGTAAAGGGGCGTCTAAAAGACGCACGCGTAGGCTCCTATGGGCCATGGTAACATTGAGCATGTAGTTTTTGGATACAACATTTATTTGCAGTTAAATTGATGTTAGCAATCTTTCAGATGAATCAATTAGTTTGTATAATAAAGGTCTGAAATTATTGATCCTTGCCCTTGAGAGTGGACAAGCACCATGTCCTGTAATTCATTCCCCTGTGGCCAGCTTTCTATCTATTAATAGATTATTCTTGGACCTGTTAATTAATAGCTGGCATTGATTAAGACGTGAACATTATTGCATGTCAAGGAGGGAAAATACTTCATTTTGATTGGTCAGTATGTAAACTAAACACAGATGGGATTGATATTTTGTTAATTACCTTAATTAAGTATCATTAAGTGTGTGATTAGGGTCCTGTTTAGGCTGATTGAAGCTGTGACTTGTCACATACAGTTGTTTTGCTCAACCAAAGCTTGATTGGAAATCAGGAAAGTATTTAGCTGCAGCAGCAGTAAAAGGATAATAGTCATTACTAGTCAACAAATGACTCTGTGATATTGACTAGGTGACAACAGACTAACCAAGACCATGACAGAGATGATGAAGCAGAGTTAGTTTTTCCTGCAATGGTGTGTTGGATGTTAACTTCCATGTATGTACCTTATTAATGAAGGTGTGTATCACTTGGGGAATCCAAAATATCTCAAGGATTAAGAAATAGACTCCCCAGCAGAGTAAAGTATCAAAGTTTTTTGGCAATCAACAGGTGACACAGTTACACCCACTATGAAGACTAGCGTGACATAACTAGTACTTACTACTGGTTGAGGCATGGGAATATATTGACTACAGCGTGGCAGGTTAATTGTGGTGGTAATAATAATCCTGCAAAGGTAATAGCATTTACAAATTCTGAAATCTTCTTGTTGGGTTGTATAATATAACTGCAGTGGGCAGTTTAAGTAATGATTCTCAATGGCAAGGCTATATCCACCAACACCCTAATGGTGTTACTATACAGTATCAAATACTTGGTGTGCCTAGATTTATGTTCTGTGTGTTGATTTTATGGAGAAAGTGAATATTACAATTCACCCATAATCTCCTTATTATCAGAGTAACTGGTACAGTGATGGAACCATTTATCCTTTTTTTCCTTAAGAAATGTCCTAACTGAGAAAGTTACAGATGGATTTTGATAAACTTTTGTAGGAAAGCTATGATGTGGGTTAACTTGAAATCAGAGAGATTTTGGTATTGATCTGTTAATCAGTTGACTTTAAAATTAAATGAGAATTAAGCTGTCTTGAAAGAGGTTTATACTCTCCTTTTCTAGTTTGATATGTGCTATGTATGTTAATTTTACATTTGCTGAAATACATTGAAAAGCATTTATTTATGGGATGATTTAACATGTCATTAAATTATGGAAGAATATCTACTCCTAATGAGATTTTCTGAGAAGATTGTACAGGGTGGACACTGATGGTTTTATGACCGTCCACTTGGGACCTTTATAAAGTGAGAGACTAATTTAATAACTATCTGCCAGGAAGTGCTTGTACTGATCAGTTTCAGAAAGCGCAATCAGAATTGATGCCCCTTCAAAACTACAACAGAAAATCGTACATTTTTTGCACTGTGTGATAATTGTGTTATCTCTTTTGACATTAGGGATGATCTTTATAGTCTGACCCTTATTTCATTCCGTTCCAAGTGATATAAAGTTTAATTGTGAAAATTCAATATAGCCAAATACACTACTGCTGTGATGATCTTTATGAGCATGTAATTCATGTTTGAACCAGAGGTAAGGCTAAACGTGTGTATTAATTTAAAACAGTAAGAATATCATTTCTGGTCTGAAAGTATATTTACTTATAATATTATTGTACAACTGATCAGTGATTATATCAGTGAGAAAACGGTATCAGTGTTTGTGAAGGTATAAATAAAGAGCATCAGGAGGTGATATGTTAAGGATCAAGATGATTAGTTAATGGGTGTTAGTTACATGAGAGTTCTGTGAACATGTGTGTATATGTGTATGTGTGTGTGTGTCCAGGTATATATTACAGGTAAAGGACCCTGGGAAGTACACCCCCAGCTGATTAACCAAAGCTTTGATAACATCTTAGTGGCTTTAACAGTTCCTGGAACAGCTAAAAGTCTGGGTCTGGAATAGTATGATTTTGGGGAAGGAGGGGTAGGGTGTTTGGTGGAGCAAGAGGGAAGATGGATATCACTGTAAATTATGTTCCATCTTTAAGTTTTTTATGTTTACACTTAAGTGTCTTCGGTAACTTTTAATGTGAAAAGAATGACTGTTTAGCACAGAAGAGTAAGAGATTAAGATGTTTTGAAAGCTGCTAAAAAATGTGTGTTTACGCAAGAAAGGTAGTCTACAGGATCATGTAAACAAGTCCAGTCCAGGGGTGTTGACCAGTATATATATAACGTTTCCATGGTAACAAACCTGTGTACCTACCAGGGCTGGTCTTGTTATAGATTGGTGTAAATTAAATCAGGCAGGGAGGGTAAAAAGAGTCTGTAATCTCCCAGTCCAGTCCAGGTGATGTCAGGTAGTAGGGAGCCTTGCTGGAAGATTGTTCTGTGTGGAAGATCAGAGCTAGGCCAACAATGGCCGTCATGTGGCATACCTGGAGACGCTACTTCAAGTCTGAACGCTACAGTAAATCTGATCGAGAAAAGACTGATATGAAATGGCAGGATACAGATTTATGTAAGTTGTGTGCTTGAGAGGCAATGAAAAAGTTTAAGTTCAGAGCTTGATGAGAAAACACTCATAGCAGACAACAAAGATATTATTAGAAACTAAGTTCTCAGTAGGTTTAAAGGAATCAAATGTTTTGATTGATTTTTACCTAACTGCATGCCTTGAAAACCAGTATTGCAAAGAACACATAGAAGAAAGTTTTTCCCATATGTATTTCCATCTTGAAATTGGAAAACTAGATGCCCATTCATTTGTTCATAGTTTCAAGGAAAAGAAAAGGAAAAGACAAGAAAAAATTAACATAGTGTTGCTGCAATTATAATTTCCTTCCTTGGGTCAAAAACCTTTTTTTCTGCATGAGTAAAAAGTCGGGAGAATGTAACAGAACATGCAATATCCAAGTCTTCTGGAGATGTGATAAAGATAGAGCCCTGAACATGCATATTAATAACAGTCTAGAGGAACCAGCTGTGTTATGTGCTTGCATGTACAGCCAGGGGCTTCAGATTCAAAACCACTGTCAGTGAATGAGGAACATGCAATGATGGAGCAGTGGACTCTGGTGTTGCCGTGGCAACCTTGACTGAGCACACAGCATCTTTTTTTGTGTAAAAATGGAAGAAGAAGGTATGTAGACATACAGGACGTACAGTCCAGGTAATACCAGGAATGGTGAATGGTGTTCTACAACTGGTCTGTCAATCACAGCCAACTGACCAGACAACAGTTATGCAGACTGGTTCACTTTTTGGGGAAGAGATAGGAATACATGAAAACTTGGTTTCTGAAATAAAAAAGGAAGCATAAGGAAAGGAATTTTAAGGGGGTAGTGGGGTAATGGAAATTCAAAGGTTTTGAGTTATTTTCCTTGACATTGTCTTGTCAGCCATCAGTACAGAATCTATGTACACACACTAGAAGCATGCACACTCACATATAATGTGCATTCTTCGTTTGGTAGAATTACTGAGCTCATTACATACTTGACCCTCATTGCTTTAAGAGCAAAGGGATAAACTGGGTGTATTGACGAATTTCAGATAACAAGCTGAGGTGTGTGGATGTTACAGCCCATTTGTAAGCTACCTTAATGATACTGTTTTTCTGGATCTGATTATCATGTGGGATTTTTCAAGACTAGATTTGCTTCAAGAGGATTAACACGATCTCCAAGTTGGAAGTTAAAAGAGGAGATATTTATGAGAGTTTAATGTAGCTGCTTTTGTCAAACTTGCCATTATCACCATGTAAGTTAGCAGTCCAGGTAAAATCTGCCCTCCCTTGGTTTCGTGCTACCTGCATTTACCTGAAGATTTAGGACTTGTGTGAAAGTTTTTTTTTTTTCATTCTCCATTAGGAATTTCTATTCTAGTACAACAGGTATTTATTGGTCTGGTGTTTTCTATTTATTTATCTGTGGGGAGCACAGGGGTTTTCTTGTCTGAAGAAAGTGCCATAACTATTCTGAGATAATGCCAAAGAGGATATCTCTCTGTTCCTGGCATTTGCCTGGCAAGGCAGGATAGTTATGATATTACTAGTATAGAGGTTGCTGCTTGGAAATAGTGAACTGAAATGTAGGTGTGCCGGATATATTTTAATATTTCAGAGGATTGCTCTTAAACACTGTTTTTCCTTGTTTCAGATGCAGACAACAAACAGCCTTCACATTTCAGATGCTAGATATAATGAGATGTCAGAATTCTTCATAGAACTATAAGCAATTCAAGATTTACTTTATAATTTTGCAGATCCACACCAAAAGTCTGCTAGGAAAAACAGACAAATTTGGACAAATTATGTTTGATATGAAAATGTGACAATTGAAAATTTCATTGTTTGATATATTGTTTTCCAGATTCATCATATGAAAAAGCAGTGGGTAAACTAGAGCGCCGCGGCAGTCTGCCCATGGTGTCCCGCAGCCTGGAGGATAACATGGACGCCACCTCTGGCACATTCAAACTATCGGTAAGGGTGCTTACTTGGGACTTGCCCCAGAATGTAGTGAAACTTTTTCCTTCAGTATCCCCTCATTAAAAGTTGTTGAGGAAAATTATGGACCAGGTCTTTGGGCTGTCTTTGAGATTGCTGTCAATGATATAGATTGGATATTTACTTAATGTTGTATTTGAACATTCTTGAAAAACTCATAAGAGAGTTAAAGTATATATCACTGATGATTTGCTCAAAAAAACAATCTGCTCACCAATTTTCTAAAAAAAATCTCAATACCCAGTGGCTACATGACCAGCCAGCAAAAATGGGAACTGTAAAAAAGTTCATTTTTCTTTAGGTACTTATTTGAGATTAATGCGATTTGTTTTACTTGCTAAAGAAAATGACATTTATACTGAAGAATCTCTATAAATTGAACCTTCAAACTACTGACGGAAATGAATTTTAACCTGAAACCATCCACGAGTAAAAATTCACCAAATATGGCCACCATCCTCCCAAATGCACTGGCCCGCCTACAGCTAGAACAACAAACAGTTCATCTAAGATTGTATCATCAATAATATACTTGAATTCGCTCTTTGTTGATCTATTTTTCTTTCCAAAATGAGATCAATCTGGCCAGTCTTGTTCACCCTGGGAAGGCAGAAACAAAAATGTGATTTCTGTTTCATATTTTTTTATTCTCTGGATAAGGCTATAATGGCTAAAGAATCCAGAATTCACATGAAATTGATTTTTGTCACACATGATGTCTGCCAGTTGTTAAAGGACCTTAAGCTGGAAAAAACTATAAAATGTATTTTTGATCAGTTCCCTGTCCATTTCTTCCAAAATTATCATGGTCAGAAGCAAGTCCAGCATTTATTGACTGATGTTAATTAAGGGAACAAATGGCTCTAGTTCAATAATTGCATAATAAATTGCTGTTATGTGGAATTATGATGGAAGTAAAGCTTTGAACATGGTCGGGATATCGGTGAGAAGTGAACAAATTTACGCTTGTGTTGATAATAATTGTATTGATAATCTTTGGGTTGATAGGTACAGCACAAATATCCATACTGGTACCAGGCTTTATGTCAATGATATGTAAAAAAATAATTACTATTAAGATAATCTTTTTAGTTCCTTCTACTCTAAACCTTTCAAAATTATTAACATGAGAGAATTTGTTGAAATTTTTAAAAATAATTTGTCAAGAGTTAAGGGATGTAAAGGTTGGTGTCTAGATACGTATATATTTTTTCAATTTGATAGATTTCACAAATATTAACATTCTACTTCACATTGATCTGATAATGTTGCATTATTTTACTGCATCAGTTCATCTAAGGCACTGGAGTGAATGCATTTCTTTGACCTGTACTCAGTACATCATAGTCATGTGTTCAGAATGGTGGTGTTTATGCCTTCAGGTTATAAATGTGTTAGTTGTGAGGTGAACTGGAGAACATCCAGTCATCATGCTATCTTGCTGCAAAAAAGGAACTATTTCGTATTATCACATATCAAGGGCTGAGAAACCTTGAGTGTTCATCAGAGAAACTGCCCCTCCCCCCACCACCACCACCACCACAACTACCAGAAAAATAAAAAATAATCATAGGTATTTTTAGAGACCAGATAATTATCTTATAAAATGACTGTTTACAAGCATTTGCAACTCATATGATTTGTTTTCTGAACAAACTAGCGTATGTGCATTTAATGGATGGAAATTACTTGAAACTACAGGTTTAAAAAGCTAGGAGTGGGATGTATAAATGTTAAAATTTGCTCCCTGCCACTGCAGTGTAGTAGAGCCCCTTGAAGTGAGTGCAATTGGCCAACAATTAAATTTAATTTCCCCACAAATCTGAACTAGCGGTGGGAGATAGAATTGGTTTGTGATAATAGTACTGACTTATGACCCTCATAATGTCTAGGATGGTTAAAAGAGAGCGTCCATAAAATTGGAGACACCTATTGTCAATAGCTCCAAGTTGTCTCAGATTTAATTGTCACCGCTTGTCGAGATGGAGGCCCTTGGCATCATATTTTATTCATTGCTAATGTTTTATTTGTGAGAAATGTACCTGTCCATTTTGTTGCTGTTATTAAACCCTGCCTTTTCTCTGAACATGAACAGCGAGGTTGCTACATAAGGTGTAGTATAAATGTTAGATACTTAGTTCTTTATATATTTTTGTATTTGTATTCAAGGCTAACACACTGGAAATTACTTTTGTACTGTGAGAAATTGGCTAGGTAACTTTAACTATTTCTCCAAGCAAAACTAAAGAAAAAAAAATCAATTCGTACAGTTCCGCAGATACTGTACAGTTTACAGAGGTTGCTAAAGAAATATTAATTGCTCTTTGGTGCCTTGAAATATAGACATTTGCCTACACATGTCTACCTCACTTCAAAATTTCCCCTTCAGATCTTTTGTCAACCTCTTAAGACTCATGGTCATTTTATACATGTCATAGATACTGGGCACTTAGGGTTATGACTGGGACCCGAGGCCTGTTTAACAAAGGAGCTTTGGCCCGAAAATTGGTCTTTACTTTTGTTTCATTTCAAGACAGCAGCAGACCACCTACAATAGATGTTGGTTTGAAACATAAGCCATGTGTTAATATAGATATGAAACAGGCACAACATTTTTTTAAATTGGAATACTATTATCTAGGGACAGAGTATACTAAAATCTTGGTGTTAAAGTGAAGGCCAATTTTTCAATCTCAACTTCCCTTGTGAAAACTGGCCCAGGTTGGACCCTAAATTGCCAATATCACTGTCATGTTGTAAACATTCACCTCCTGAACTGTTCTATTGGCTGTCATTGAGACACCATCACTGTGCAGTCTGCTAGTGTTAGGGAGGGGGGAGACTGACCTCCAGATACCTGACAACCCCCCTGGTGGAGTATTGTGGCCAAGAATGTCTCTGTTTGTCCACGAGCAGTAAACTTGTTTAGGAGGGATTAAGATACTAAGAGGTCTGGAGAATGAATGAGATTGTATATTTTCCAGTGGTTAATTTGTTTCTGGTGAGAGAGATAGAGGACTGAATAAATGTGCACACGCGCGTGTGTGTATGTGCTTCTAGTGGGCTGGAACTGATCATTACCAAGGGGAGGCTTAGACCCAAACTAGGAACAGAGATTTTTTTTCTTGTCTGTGTGACTTTTTGAACTATTACTGGATTAGCAGCAGGGATTTGTGTAGATTAACAGCGAGGATATTGACTTGGATTACAGCGCTCACCTGCTTGGAAAATCTCCAGAGAAAGAATCGATCACCTGCTTTTGGCTTGGAATGTGATAGGTTTTTTTTCTTGCAGAGACTTTTCAGTTTTATTGAGCTCTTCAGGTAAGGTTTTTTTTATATTGATGACTGAGTTAAGCAACAAGGTGAACATCAATGATGAGAGGAGACTCTTTTCATGCACATTGTCAGAAAAAAATCAAATACCTGGATTGACCACAAAAGGCATTTGAGTACAGTGTTTTATTTTCAGTGTAACTCTGACAGCTAATAATTCATGGAAACTGATGAAGCGTGGCTTTTAGTCTGGTATCAAAGTCCTAGGACAATGTACCTTGATAAAAGGAACAGTCAAGGCTGCTGTAATTGTCAGACTATAAAGGATCCATCTTTAATATTGCATTAGATTTTATAGGCTGCCTTCACAAGTAAGTGTTTCACAATCTGGTTAGGGAGCCATGGTAGAATTATGATGCATTAAGGTAACCATACCATCTAGGCTTTGTAAAGTAATCTGAAATCAATTTGTGGCAGTTAAGAAGTCATAGAAGAAAAAGAGATGGAGGAAAACAAACTATTAGTCACTAACTTTTAACTAGTCGAGCTCCTCCCCTGGTCTCATCTATGAACTTTCTTTTCTTTTTGGTTTTAAATATTTTCCCTTTGTAAAAGTTAGATGTGATACCTTGGATCCAAGCCAGAGTAATTTGTAGTGCAAGTTCACAAAGGGAGTTGATGCCAGTAAAGGGGCAGTAGTATTCTATGTATGATAAGACCAAAGGGACAGGTGCACCCTGGGTTACTACCAGCTGCCTGACTGAGTTCAGAGGTGCTGTCGGCCTTTGGTGCCCTCTGTAGTGGCAGGATCAAAGAAAGCCTGCCCAAGATGTAACATACTGCCTGCCTGCTTGCTTGGTCTAAAACATCATCCTAAGTCCTGCATTCCACCAGTGTTGTCTTTCTGTTTTGATAGAATTTGGATGTAGTACGTCTTGTCATAGGGGCTTTAATTTTTATCATTTTATCGTTTTAAGTTTAGGTGGAATTGGAGATATTTGACGTTTGCAATTTGCCCGCTGGATCTTCCTTGTTGGTTATCTGTAAGATCATGACAGATCAAAGGTTGTTTGTGCACTAGGTGGTTCACACAGGGGTTGCAGAACGCTCTTGGGCTCTTGAAGTCCAGCATTCCTGCAGTATTTTATTTCTAGTTGATATGGCAAAGAAGCATATTATCAAGTTTATTTAATTTTACAGTAAAAACTCAATTACTGTAGCATCTTCTGTTGAAATGTCTGAAATATCTGCAAAGATCAAAGAGGAGTGACACTTCCTAGGTGAATCTTGGCTTAGGGTTTTTTTCTTGATCAGCTGCCATTATGCCATCTACTGGTGAATCTCCCTGGCCACTGGTTGTTTCTTCTGAAAGTTCAAAGATTTTTCATTAATTGGATGAAAAGTGAGCTAGTGCCCCTGACGCCTGTGGTTTCTTGTCCAAATCTCATTTCAAGGACCTTGTGGTGCGTTAAAACTTTGTAGGTATTTAAGAAGGAGAAGGGACTCCAAGAGTTCTGACATTCTCTTATTTGTAGACATTAGATTGTTCGATCCATGGGCTAGGCAGTGAAGGTATGCTGTTTATTTGTTTTTAAAATTTTCAGCTTTTGATATTGTTCTCTGTGTTGACTTTTTGTCTCAATTTTAGGATTAGAGCTTTTCCAGAATGCATTTGTAAAATGCATTAGAGTTATATACACAATTATCAGCGTAAAATGATGAATACAAAAAGAATGTTGAGCTTGTGAAAACGTTCTTCAATTTCATTAGCTTTTCAGTGCATTCATGTAAAATTGAGCACTTATTTCCCTTATTTTGTGTCAACTGGCAAAATTCAATGTAGTATTTCTTGGACATTAGGATAATGAATTTAAATGATGTGAATGGCACCTTTATGAAACACATGCAACTTACAGCAGTTAAACTTCAAACTTATCTCTCAATCGGGTATATAGGATTGAACGTGTAAGTGATTCTTGGGATAAAAAAGGTGATTTTACATTCATATATTTAAGAATAACTGAGAGAGAAGTTTATCCGTGCAGTTAGAAAGGTTTTAGTATGATAAAGGACATTTTTGCACCGAGTAATAGTTGTTGGTACGCATCAGTGCAACCCTCCTGTAGCTAAGATACAAATGATTATCATTTGCAACTATGGGCTAAATGGCCATTATTTTTCTCCTCTCCAGAGCATACAGAATTTCTTCAGCAAAAAGACCCTTAAGGGGACATTGAAGAGGACCAAGAGTGCCACAAAACTTGACAGAAAAAGAACAGCACCTGGAGCTCTGGATGGGAGTGAATCGTGAGTATTCATTTTTTCCCCAGTCTTAATTTAAACAGTCATAAAAAGGTGGTGAATATTTTGTTTTGAACTGTGACCATCATTTGCTTGATTATTCAGCAGCATTGCTAGTTCCGTAACGTTTTTCCAAAGTTTAACGGTTTTTAAGATTTGAAATAAACCACTTGGAATGAGAGTGTTTTACAGTATATTGCTGTGCTGTGTTTTTTCTACCACCGGTTGCATAGTAAACAAGGCATGGAGTGAGCTAGGGAGATGTGCAGTAACAAAGCATCATCTAGGATAGAGAAGAGATAAGACTTGCTGTCTGCCACACATTGTATCAGACATTTCAATGGCCCCATTATGAGGCATGCAACTCAAAAATTGTATCAGACGTCCAGAAACATTTGTAATGCTGCCTTCGGGTTGAGCAGATTGATATCAAGGCCATCGAGATGAAAAGTTGCAGGGTGGATGGCTAGCAAGTCTTGTCTGTAGTAGCAGGGGTGTGTGGCACTTTCCACCCACTGTCTTCCACTGATAAACCTTTCTCACATTCTAATATGTGGCTCCTTAGTATCAAGCTCTTCTGCTGATAATACTGCTTCATGATGTCTGGTCTTCCAACACAGTCGCCACTATCCCGTGGCTAATAGGGGCCGGTGTCGCCAGCCAGGCCTGATGCAGTGGCAAGTTATCTGCAAATGAGGCTGGAAAATAGGGGATGGATCAGCAGTTATTTCAATTAAATTTAGTTTTCATGGTTTTCAAGTCTTCAGATGTTGGTCTGATTTGGTTTTTTTTTTCTTATTACTATCATAAAAGATATATTAATAATTTGGAAGTGCTAAATTCAGTCTGGAAGATTTCTCGTGGATTTTTTTGTTTCCAAAATTGTATAGACTTTTGTGAGATTCACCCTCTTTA